ATCCTATCATAATTCTATATATACCTGCTTTTTGCATTTATAGTTTTTTCCTTATAGATAGATCATCGGTCAGAAAAATGAAAACGCACAATAGTATTTCTGAACTTACACTTTATAAATTACTTTAAGATCAAAATAATAAAGTCATGCTTGATGATTTTTTTTCCAAAAAATCCATTATATACAAAATATAATAGTACATTGTTTCCATATGAAAAAAATCTTATTTAACCTTTATTTCTAACATTCAAGCAACACTTCAATGTTTCAGTACACATAAATTCGGCTGTTTTCTTCTCTTTGGTCGGGTTGCTGTCTCTTTGACACATTCCCCATTTCCATTCCCAATTTTATAAATATATTTTCAAAAAAAATGCAATGGTTTTAATGGTATATAAAACTTGTGTAACATACAAGTAATTTTACTAGTATGTTGCTAAGAGGTTTAATATTATTATTGTCAATCTTTAATTCTAAATTTTGTAGTTTTCAAATTTCCATCAGAGAAATATATTTAGGTATGTTTTTATATAAGTTTAGAATCTGAAGACAAAGGCTTAATTATTACTGGTTTTTTTTTGTAGGTTTATTTTTCAAAATAACGATAACAGATGCTAAACTACAAACAATTAAGCTACATGCAGAAGTTGTTTCTACAAAGGGACATGACTTCAAGAAATTGAAATACACATTTAAAACAGCAGACAATTCAACAAGATCAGAAGAATTTTCTGTCAGTGGTCATGAAATTAAAAAAGACATCACTGTTAAATGGTTAGAAATAGGATTCTGTTTCAAATTTCAGATTCAAGTGCTTACTACAAATGGGATCTGGATTGATCCACATGAACAAATGGCTTGCACAAGTAAGTTTTTATTAATTCAACTGGCTCTAACAGTTAGTTTGTGCAATAAATGGTTTTCCGTCTCACTGTTTGACTCTGCCCAGCTCTCAATAAAATTGCTTTGTGATGTCAAATATGTCATACAGAGTCTTAATAAATTTGACCCGAACTTATCACCTGGCCTGGGGTTCCTAATGTATAACCTAAGGTTGATAAGTTTGATTTGAACTTAATCAATCAAGTCCTCTTCAGAAAAAAAACAAAGAAAATACTAGTATCTGTAAAGAAAAACACACAAATGCAATCCAGATTATCAGATTTTCTTCAAATCGATATTTTGAAATATCAGCTGCTGGACACGTAAAGAATTTTTTATCTTGTTTGCTGCACTCACTCATCAAACAGATTCATATTGTGCCTTGTAGCAGATATTTTACAGTAATATCCAGTTTTAAAGATTGTATTAGAAATAATATATTGACATTGGAAAGATATTTAAGGAATTGCTGTAATACGTACTAGTACTATTTCTATCTATGAAGAAATAACATAAAAAAATGTGGTGCACACTAAATAACCCGCGTTATTTAAAAGTAAGTGTGCACCACATTTTTTTAGGTTATTTCGAATAGAAATAGCCAGAATGTTGTGTAGATCATTAACAAAAACAAAATGTGGATTATTTAATGGTCACAGGAGTGGTTACATGTCTACACCAAACATTTCTCTTAGGAGACATCCTGCCTTATATAGTCATACTGACAGGAAACTACAATGGCTGAAAAGCACAAAGACCAAATCTTGAAAGGACAGACGTTGAAAGACAAGACATAAAAAACATTTGATCTGAAATCTGCATGTACCTCCAAATGGTATAAAAATGAAACTTTATAACAGTTTTATTACACTTGTACAGTTTTCCATTCTAATCCAATAAACATGTACATTTAAAAAGTTTTATATATACATATATATAATAACAAGAGTGCACACGCTATAATGTCTCGCCTTCTTTACTAACCATTGATATTATGTTGATAGTCCTAAATATAAAGCTTTACTACAACTATCAACCTTACAATCGTTCAATACACTAATATAGTCGACCTATTGCTTATAGTTTCCAAGACAGACTTAACCAAGAAAACTAAACATTGACCAATGAACCATGCCAGGCAGACATGTACACCTTATAATCAACCTATGGATTAAATATAGTTGACCTATTGCTTATAGTATCTAAGAAACAAACTTAACCATGAAAACTAAATATTGACCAATGAACCAACAAAATGAGGTCAAGGTCAGATGATACCTGCCAGACAGACATATACAGCTTACAATCCTTCTATACAAAAAATATAGTTGACCTATTGCTTATAGTTTAAGAAAAACAGACCAAAACACAAAAACTTACAACTGAGCAATGAACCGTGAAAATGAGGTCAAGGTCAAATAAAGCCTGCGAGACTGACATGTGCATCATAAAATATTTCCATACACCAAATATAGTTGACCTATTGCATATAGTATTAGAAAAAAAGACCAAAACTCAAAAACTTAACTTTGACCACTGAACCATCAAAAATGAGGTCAAGACAGATGACACCTGCCAGTTGGACATGTACACCTTACAATCATTCCATACACCAAATATTGTAGACCTATTGTGTACAGTATAAGAAAAACAGACCAAAACACAAAACCTTAACTATAACCACTGAACCATGAAAATGAGGTCAAGGTCAAATGACACCTGCCAGTTGGACATGTACACCTTACAATCCTTCCATACACCAAATATACTAGACCTATTGCTTATAGTATCTGAGATATGGACTTGACCACGAAAACTTAACCTTGTTCACTGATCCATAAAATGAGGTCGAGGTCAAGTAAAAACTGTCTGACGGGCATGAGAACCTTGCAAGGTACGCACACACCAAATATAGTTATCCTACTACTCATAATAAGAGAGAAATTAACATATTAACATTACAAAAAATCTTAACTTTTTTTCAAGTAGTCACTGAACCATGAAAATGAGGTCAAGGACAATAGACATGTAAAAGACGGAAACTTCATACCATAAGGCATCTATATGCAAAGTATGAAGCATCCAGGTCTTCCACCTTCTAAAATATAAAGCTTTTAAAAGAAGTTAGTTAACGCCGCCGCCGCCGGATTAATATCCCTATGTCGAGCATTCTGCGACAAAAGTCGCAGGCTCGACAAAAACTATAAAATAATTTTGCATACGTTTCGGTCATTACTGTAAAATCAAAATTAGATTTTAACGTTTACAAATATTTTGCAAATGCTGACCTGCTAAAACGTACATAGCATTACTGAATGTAGACTGTGACAGTCATATAAAAATAATAGAATTTATGACGAATAAATATACTTTAATGAGACAGTAAACAATTCAACTGTAACAAATACTATCAAAGACCATCTAGAGATGGTGTAACTTAGTAATCTTATGCCATCTTTATTAACATCATTTTTCATTGGCGAAGATTTGCCGTCAAATCCATAAAACACCATTTTGAGTTGCTGGAATCCACAAATGTTCATGTATTACAATAAAAACGAAAAACTAAACATAACTTACCTAAAAAACACCGTTTTAATGAATTTTTATTCAAATCTGAATCGTACAAGTAAGTAATCGTTCCAATGACGTTAATGCAAATATCCTTTTTACTGTCTTCGATAGGTGTCGGCAGTAAAACTGCATTTGTAATTGTCAAAGCACCAAAAAAAACGTTAAAAAAAAATACCGAACTCTAAGGAAAATTTCAAAACGGACAGTCTCTTAACAAATGGCAAAATCAAAAGTTCAAACACATTAAACGAATGGAAAACAACTCTCATGTTCCTGGCTTGGTACAGGCATTTCCTTATGTAGAAAATGGTGGATTAAACATGGTTTTATAGCTAGCTAAACCTCTCACTTGTATGACAGTCGTTTAAAATTCCATTATATTGACAACAATTTGTGAACAAAAAAAACCAGACATAATAGGTAAAAATGTCAAACATAGGGGTATAGCAGTCGTTCTTTCTTGTTTATTTGACCTGTTGATACTAATTGTAATGCTTTTTTGTTATTTAATGGGGTTTTTTTCAGGGTTATATCTGGTCTATATACCAGCTTTGTTAAGCGTTTGGTATTACTATAAATTTTCACTTCTTCGTACTATAAACATCAAAATTATTTATTTTGTAAAAATATTTCCTTTCTCCATTTGAACTTTACACGTATACCTAACAACAAAATTATTTTCATTTACCTGTGTTTAAAGTAATTGCTAATGGCTGATATTTTTGTTCAAGCATATTGTTTTTCTTAAATTGTTTAACATTTCACATCGGTATAACATGTTACTTTAATTATTCTTCCCTTAGTTTATTTATTTTGTATTTACATTGTATCATAGATCAAATTTTTTTGTTAAGTGTATGTTCACTGGTGTTAATATGTCCTTTGATTGAGTTAAGCTATTTCAGTTGATATTTTATAGTGTGTCTTTCTATGTTGTGATGTTACACTATTGTTTCAGAAAAAGGGTGAAGGTTTGGTACCACTAAAACGTTTAAACGCGCTGCATTTGTTTGCACCTGTCCTAAGTCAGGAATCTGATGTTCAGTAGTTGTCGTTTGTTGATGTGGTTCATAAGTGTTTCTCGTTTCTCGTTTTTTATATAGATTAGACCGTTGGTTTTCCCGTTTGAATGGTTTTACACTAGTAATTTTTGGGACCCTTTATAGCTTGCTGTTCGGTGTGAGCCAAGGATCCGTGTTGAAGACCGTACTTTGACCTATAATGGTTTACTTTTATAAATTTTGACTTGGATGGAGGGTTGTCTCATTGGCACTCATACCACATCTTCTTATATCTATAATCTTCATCACTATAAAAACAAACAGATATACCTATAATGGTTTACTTTTACAAATTGTGACTTGGATGGAGAGTTGTCTCATTGGCACTCATACCACATCTTCTTATATCTATATACAAACAATTGACAGTAGCAACTCTTCAACTGTAGTACTGTTATTCCTTAATTTTATGTCCTATAAGACTAATATCTTGTTCATAACTTTCATTTTGAATAAATATTGTTTTCTAGAACCAGAGAATGTGACCACCATGAGTATCACATGGTCACCACCTAATTTAACTAACGGTGTAATAACAAGATACAGTGTTAGTTATTGTAGTAATGGTATTAGTGGGTGTAAATATACTGTTGTAGAAAGGATGACTTCAGTAATATTAAAAGATTTAGACTGTTGGAAAGAGTACCGTGTGTGTGTGTCAGCTCAAACATCGGCTGGAGTTGAAAGATCAACATGTGGAGTAAATAACACAAGTGTTTATGGTAAAAATATTTTGTTATAAATTATCAGATTCTGTGTAATAATATCAGAGACATATATATGTCTCTGATAATATTGACTAATAGAGTCACAAAGTACAATTAACTAATATAGCATAGTAAATCCTGACATAATGGGGATAGTTGTATTGACAGTTTTTGAAATATATTTGATTTTGAAGGGCATTTAACTATGAATAAGATATGTTGGTATATAACAATGAAACACTCAACAACACAGAAAACAAAAAATATATTTAGAGGTCAACACATGGTCAATAGACAAGTGTCCTCATGATATGTCAAGCTTTAAAAAGCTCCAAGCCCAACCATGTAGTGAATAAAGTTATAATCTACCAAAGATCTGTCATTAACACCAAATTTAAAAAGCAAACACAAACCACTAAGAAGGTTTCCAACTATCATTAAATATAGAATAATGGCCATTTCTGTTTTTGATCTTGACTTTATCAGCAGGAATATCATGTGAGCTTGCTAGGGTAAGCTGATATTCTTGCTGATGTAGTCAGTATCAAACAATAAAATGCCACTATTCCTTTTATTTGCAATTTATTCATTTTATTTGCAATTTGTCTTAACACTATGATTGTTTTACTTGAGAATATGGAATAAAATGAATTGGTAAGTAAAACAACTTTTATGCGTACAAAAGTCGTTGATAGTTGTTCGGTTGTATGAATGAAATCGTGTGCCTTTCATTGATAATTTGACGTGGATGGACTTGAACATGCAACGTTGCTGCACTGATGCATGATATCATTGGCTTATATTTTCGAGTATCAAGTTATGTCCATGATCTTAACAAATATAAGTTGTAAAATCAAATGAAAAATGAACAAATTGCCGATAAACCAGTTTATTCTGCATTTTGTTTTTATTTGTTATCAACTTAATCATGTATTTTTTTTTTAAATTAAACACAACTATTTTTGCTGATTTTTTTAAAGATTTGTTTTATGGAGTATCAATTTATAACATTATATCTATATCAATTTGTGTGGGAATTTTTTATTGTCTTTAATATTTCAGAACCCCAGTCACAGATAACTAAAATAACTACTAGCAACACAACCATCAGACTTGAGTTTGAAGTGCCATGTGTCAGTGTTGAAGCACCAATCACCTACGAAATAGCCTACACATCTTTGGATCATTGTACAGGGAACCAGACAAATGTTACTGAATAGTTGGAATGTCTTCCATTGTGTCCATGTGAGATTACTGGACTGTTTTCCTACTGGGAGTATTTTATCAAAGTGCAGGAATCAGCAGAAAACAATGTTGGTGTTTGGAGTAATGAGTACAAAGTCACTACACTTCATTCTGGTAAGTTCTGTTTTACCTATTGAAAAAACAATTGTACTTAACATTTTTACACAGTGGAAAATTAATGTTCTTCTATTCTGGTAAAACATCACTTCAGCAATTTGTGATTGACAGTCATATTCCTGACTATGTACAGAAACATTACGAATTAAAGCAATTGGTTGAATCAGGTTTTATACTTTATAGTCTGATATTGAAAGCATTCTAATTGCCAGAGATTGTGGTTTACAACTCAAAATGATCAATTGGACTTTAACCATTTTCATTTTTTATTTTTATTATTATACCTTGGCAGTTCATTACACAACATTTAAATTTCAAATCTGATCAAATGGAGCTCATGAAGTATTCTTTATAAGTACCATTAAATGTTACTTCAAGCCAAGTTCAGGACTACATTCCATGATAAAGCACTTTTCAGCAACAGTTTGGTCAATATGCCCTACATTTCTTGCATGACCAGATATTTTAAGATTAGATCGACTTAGCAAAAATGCATAGTGATATTCTTCAGTTTTTAGTGTTGGCCATTTGTGTCAATGCTATTTATAGATTGTTGCTGTTATCATTTCAATAAACTTTTTTATACTATATTTTCATATTACAGTTCTCATTCTGAAATTTTCTTTTTTCAGTTCCTGAAGGAATTCGAAATGTAAGAGCAGAGAATATAAAATCCGACAGTTTGACAGTATGCTGGGAAAAGCCATGTTTTCTCAAAAGTGATACTATATTTTACAATGTGACATTGAATTATGATACTCCATATGTTAACATATATAGATCTGGAGCAATACCACTGACAGAATGCGAGGACATCGCTGATTTGTTACCATATACAAATTACACTATTTCTGTCACAGCAAGTAACCAGTATGGGAACACTGACCCTGTAACTATCATGAAACAAACTGATATAGCAGGTAAATACTTTGTATTACACAAATATTATACATCTTTCTGTCAGTTTTCAACTAACTTTATTTGTGATGTTTTGAATTTCCCCTGCAACTATATGCCATTGGAATATTCTTAATTTAAAGTTCTGTTTAAATGCTAGTTCTCCTCACTTTTTTGTTATAATTAGATCCGACTTAGAGCTCACAAGTGTAGTTTTTATTTGAATTTAATTTTTTTATTATAACTTTTATAAATATTTCAGTGCCAAATCAACCCAGATTTAGTGAAACTGTAGAACATGCCACAATGATGACAGTAGAATGGAAACCACCATATCCCTACCCTGGTCCTACAAGTTACACAGTCAAAGTCAGAGATATTGAAAATAGTGAAACCAAACATTGCCAAACATTGGGTATTTTTTTTTTTTCATATTTGAAAACAACAATATTAACACTCATTTATCTAACAATAATTTCTAGATGAATGTTTTAGGAATATGACAGTTGTTATCCATTCGTTTGATATGTTTGTTTTTTTGATTTTGCCATTTGATTGGGGACTTTCCTTTTTGAATTTTCCTCGGAGTTCAGTATTTTTGTGATTTTACTTTTTTTTATATTACAACATGAAAAAGATAAGAATTTTTAGCATAGTTATAACCCCTAACGGATTGGTTTTTTAACTTACCTTTGAAAATAATTCTATTATTTACTCTTCCATGCATGCAACTAAGTTAAAACACTTCCATGACGGATATGTTTTTTATGATTAAAATTGGGAACAAACTGCTGATAACGTGTTTTACTCCTTCTTAGAACTTAGAAATTAATTCATTAAAATGTAGCTATATAATATTTTTGTGGGAAGTTGATATTTCTTAGATGTATAAAATTGATAATGCATTTATTTGTTAGCGCTAGAAGCCAAAAGAAAAAAAATCATCTGCATGAGCATTAAAGTTTGATAGAAACAGCTCCAGTTATTTCATTAATTTTTTTGTCTTACTAAAGAATCTAAATCCTCCACTGATGAAAGTAACAAAAACAAAAAAAAACGTATATGATAGGAATGGAATTATTCTTTGTAATTGATTGCTGTCATGCTATCGACATCACAAAGGATAAACATATACACAACGGATAAATATATATATATAAAAATGACCGAATAATAGCCAACAATAAATCCTACGGGGCGATAAAGACTTATTTGTGAGAGCTGATGTCTCCTTTAATAAAAGCTGTTCAACTGTTGGATGGTGCAAGTCGTGTGGTAACAGACGATGTCTGACTTGCTAACAAATACTGAATTCTCAAACATTTACTTGCCACTCCACCGGGTCTGTGTACACTATATTTTGCAATGTAACTTGCAAAACCCAGAATGTTGAATACCTTCTTTAGTGTCGATGTGGCATGCAGTATGTTGGCGAGACAGAACAGCCATTCAACAAACGCATGAATGGTCATCGAAGTGACTACACCTGCAAGCTTGACCTCCCCGTAAGTCGTCATTTGAGATCACCTGGGCACGCCCAAGCTGATCTCAAAAACCTTACCATCACTATCATAGACCACAAAGAGGGTTGGTCAAGGGCCGACAGACTTGTTAGGGAAAGGTTTTGGATAAGAAAGCTAAGGACAGTTTCCCCAGAAGGCATAAATGAAATAACATAGAATGAATCACTCATTTTCCCTACCATCACTCATTTTCCTACCATCACTTGTTTCCAGTAACTCAGGCTTCCGTACTGAACTCTTACAGTTTTAAGGAATTTATTCCTCCTCCCGAACATCAATATTGAAAAAAATTACCAGCGTATTGATTATTGACAATTTGTATAGAGATCAAGATTATTATTTCAGTTTGACTACCACATGTCAAGATAAGATTCATTTTACATCTTACTGATGAAGGATATTAGTTATCCGAAATATCTAACATTTGTTCATGATTTTATTATTTTTTTGGTGGTGTTGTACCCTTTTAGACTCTTATATATATATATATATAATGTCTAAAAATAGCAACAATCAACATCCAATATATTTAGGCGTAGATCAGTTTGTGAAAATAAACTGATACAGTTATTGAATTAAAATTATATAAATGTCTAATAATATAGGAAGTAGGACAAATCGCCCCACTGGCAAAACACCCCACACGAAATCGCCCCACTTTTTAACCAACTCGCCCCACTTTTAAAAAAATCGCCCCAATCTGGTTTACCAACTCGCCCCACTTGTGAAAAGGTTTAAATCCCGTTAATTTTTCTCCTGCCAACTCGCACCACTTAAAAACGAAAATTTATTAAATTATTTTTATTGACTATGAGGTGGCATGACTCAATTCATCAGGACTTTTCTATTTTTCATAAGTGGGGCGAGTTGGCAAGACTCAATTCATCAGGATTTCTCTATTTTTCACAAGTGGGGATAGTTGGCATTCACGTCACAGAAATACTGATACTCACTTCTTTCTGCTTTATTTTAATAAAAAGAAAAGAACTACAAAATAAATATAAGAAGATGTGGTATGAGTGCCAATGAGACAACCTTCCATCCAAGTCACAATTTGTAAAAGAAAAACCATTATAGGTCAAAGTACGGTCTTCAACACGGAGCCTTGGCTCACACCAAACAATAAGCTATTAAGGGCCCCAAAATGACTAGTGTAAAACCATTCAAACGGGAAAAGCATGTTTATCTAAGGTTTTCATAGGTATTGATTTTATTTATGAGTGGGACAGGAACATAGATATACAACGGGATTGCATCTTTTGCATCATGTTGGTCGAGTTGGCATTACTAAATTCATCAGGATTTAGGGAGCTACCATTTGATTTTTGTAGGGGGCTAGGATGAAATTTGAAAAAATAGGCAGGACAGGAGTTTTGAGTAAAAAAATAAAAAGTCAGGATGACAAATTAGGTAAAAAAAAGTCAGGATAAACTTTAAAAAAAGGCAGGACCGAATAGAGTGAAAAATAAAAAGGCAGGACAGAGAGATTACAACTAAAAAAAATGCAGGACAAAATTTTTCATCCCAGCCCCCCCCCCCCCCCCCATAAAAATCAAATGGTAGCTCCCTTATCTATTTTTCACAAGTGGGGTGATTTGACAGACCTTATTTCAGAGGGATTTTTACCCTTTTCATAAATGGAGCAAGTTATCCAACCTATTTTCAGTGGGATTTTACCCTTTTTCATAAGTGGGGCGAGTTGGTAAACAAAAGTGGGGCGATTTTTCAGAAAGTGGGGCGAGTTGGTGAAAAAGTGGGGCGATTTGCCAGTGGGGATATCTTCCATCCTTTGCTTCGTTCTCAAGAGGTTTCCACCACCAGTCATGGCCTTCAGAAGACCTAAAAACATCCGGGTCAAATTAGTGACAGCTGTATTAGCAAAGCAACCTACTCCACCTCCCAGTTGTTACAAACAATGTGGTCTAAGGAATTGCTTATGTTGTAAAGCTGCCAATACAAGCAGTTCTTTCATCAGCTCCGTTACTAAACAAAATTATACCATCTACTCAAATTCCAACTGTAAAACGGAGAACTCAATTTATATATTAACATGTAACACTTGTGGCATTCAGTATGTGGGAGAAACAATGGATAAATTCAATATTCGGCTCAATAACCATCGTTCATGGTACAAAACCAACAAAAACTGTCCTCTCACAAGACATCTTCGCTCAAACAAACATCCTTTTGATAATGTTACTTTTCAAATCATAGAAGTCAACACTGAGTGGGACACCACGGCGAGAAGGAGAAGAGAAAACTTTTGGATCCACAAGCTCCACACTTTAGAACCTGATGGTCTTAACGAAATAGACGAGAAAAGATACAGGAAAGATAAAGAATAATTTAGTACACAGAATCGTCCTTTTTATCCTGTAATATTGGCCAATGGACGTTGCAAACTTCAACCACCAATTTTGTAAATAATATTGAACTTCATCCAAATTGTGTATTATTTACAAGGCAGCTATATTCATGTGCAACATGTACATTGAGCTGCAAAAGTTTCTTATCATCTACATCCGATTTCACCTGGATAGATGCACGGTTGATAAAGCTAGTTGGTCTAGC